TTGATGATTTTATCCACATTTTTTAATGGAATTGTCTGAAATTCCATAAAAGGAGTCCCTTCTGGGCATTTTACCCCCTCAAAAAGAATTGTCTATATAGGTCCACGATATCGTATATCCCCCATATAACTGTACCCCCCGATATTCGGTAATTTGATAATGTTAGCCACATTTTTCAACGGAATTGTCTTAAAATCCACACAAGTAGTTCCTTATGAGTACTTTACCCCCTGAGAGAGAATTGTCTATACAGGTCCACGATATCGTATATCCCCCATATAACGGTACCCCCCGAGATTCGGTATTTTGATGATTTTACCCACATTTTTCAAGGGAATTGTCTGAAAATCTACACAAGCAGTTCCTTGTGGGTACTTTATACCTCGGCAGAGAATTATCTATATAGGTCCACGATATCGTATAGCCCCCATATAACGGTACCCCCGATATTCGGTATTTTCATGATTTTACCCACATTTTTTATCGGAATTGTCTGAAAATCCACAAAAGGAGTTCCTTGTGGGTACTTTATACCTCGGCAGAGAATTATCTATATAGGTCCACGATATCGTATAGCCCCCATATAACGGTACCTCCGATATTTGGTATTTTGATTATTTTATCCACATTTTTCAATAGGATTGTCTGAAAAAGGAGTCCCTTGTGGGCATTTTACCCCCTCAAAAAGAATTGTCTATATAGGTCCACGATATCGTATATCCCCCATATAAGGGTACTCCCCTATATTCGGTATTTTGATGATTTTACCCACATTTTTCAACAGAATTGTCTGATAATCCACACATGGAGTTCTTTGTGAGTACTTTACTCCCTGAAAGAGAGTTGTCTGCATAGGTCCACGATATCGTATATCCCCCATATAACGGTACGCTCTGATATTCGGTATTTTGATGATTTCAGCCACATTTTTCAACGGAATTGTCTGAAATTCCAGACAAGGGGTTCTTTGTGAGCACTTTACCCCCTGACATAGAGTTCTCTATATAGGTTAACCATATCGTATAGCCCCCAAATAACGGTACCCCCGTTATTCGGTATTTTGATGATTTTAGCTATATATTCCAATGGTATTCTCTGAAAATCCACACAAGGATTTCTTTGTGAGCACTTTAACCCCTAAAAGGTATTTGTCTATATAGGTCCACAATATCGTATATCCCCCATATAACGGTACCCCCGATATTCGGGATTTTGATGATTTTAGCCACAATTCCCAATGGAATTATCTAAAAATCCACACAAGGAGTTCCTTGTGAGTACTTTACCCCCAGACATAGATTTGACTATATAGATCCACAATAGCGTATATCCCCCATATATCGGCACCTTCCGATATTAGGTATTTTAAAGATTTTAACAGAATTTTCAATGGATTTTATTTTTTTGAATATTTTCTAATTCGTTTCAAATGGTGGAGGGTATTCAAAGTTCGACCCGGCCGAACTTACTGCTTTTTTACTTGTTTTATTTTTGCTGTTCTTTTTAAACGCGTTTTTATCCTATTATTAATAGGAAATACAAAAAAATATGATAATATAATGATTTTTATACTCTCCACCAAACTATGGAGGGTATATTCATTTTGTCATTAAGTTTTGTCATTAAGTTCGAAATAATCATCATTCATTTTGTCATTAAGTTCGAAATAATGATCTTAGACCCAACAAAGTATATATATTCTTGATCAGCGTAAAATTCTAAGACGATTTAGCCATGTCCGTCTGTCTGTCTGTTGTAATCACGCTTTCGAACGAAATGAGATAGAAGGCTAAAATTTTGCACACATGTTTATTTTTCCAGTAGGCAGGTTAAGTTCGTAAATGGGCCATGCAGGTCCACGTTTTCATATAGCCCCCATATAACGGTACCTCCCGATATTCGGTATTTTACTGATTTTAGCGACATTATTCACCGGAATTGTTTCAAATTTGGCATTTGAAGTTCGAAATGGATACTACAGCCTGAGACGGAAAATTGTCTGTTCAAGTCCACGTCTTCGTATAGCCCCCATATAACGGTACCTCCCGATATTCGGTATTTTGCTGATTTTAGCGTCATTATTGACCAGAATTGTTTCAAATTACGTATTTGGAGTTCGTTATGAAAACTACAGTCTGTGACAGAAAATTGTCTATGCAGGTCCAGGTCTTCGTACAGCTCCGATATAACGGTACCTCCCTATATACGATATTATGATGATTTTAGCTATATTATTCACTGTTTATTTCAAGTTTCGAATTTGAATATGGTAATGGCTTATGACAAACAATGCCTATGTAGGTCCACGTCGTATAGACCCCAATATAACGGCTATATTCGGTATTTTTAAAATTTTAACAGCATTTTTTAAGAATTTGATTTTTTGAAAATTTCCAAGTTCGTTCCAAATGGTGGAGGGTATTCAAAGTTCGGCCCGGCCGAACTTACTGCTTTTTAACTTGTTTATTATTCCTTTTTCATGAAAATGTGTAGTCTTTTTGTCTTCAGATTTAAGCAGGTTTTTCCAAGGATAAATCTGACTTAGCACAAATTTTGTTATTTTTATACCCTACAACACCATGTGTTGGGGGTATTATAAGTTTGATTGGCCCAAAAATTATGTAACACCACGAAATATTGATTTCCCACATAGGAAAGTATATATGGATCTTCCTATCTCGCCGAGCTTAGTCGATATAGCTATGTATGTCCGTCCGTCCGTCTGTCCGTCTGTCCATGTTAATTTGTAATCACTCTACAGGTCGCAATTATGGTCCGATCTTCACGAAATTTAAAATGGAGGTGGGGCTAGAGTCAGAATAGTGCAAGAACTTACACCGCAATAGAAAGAAAATAGACTCAAAATAGCTAAAGAGTTGCTTCGCTTGGCCGAAAGTGTGAACTGTCCAGCAGTTTGTAAACAAACAAAATGATCGTGTTTACTTGCCAAAAAGGTCAGTTGAAAATGTGCACCTTCGGTTGGCCACAAGCGCCGGCCATGGTAATGGTGTGGGCCGCCATAACAGCCGATCGTCGCTCTCCGCTCGTATTAATCGACCGTGCTATCAGAATAAATGCCGAATATTCTGGAGGGTGTATTAAAGCCTTAGGCACGCAAACATTTTGGCCGCAGACCTTGGACATTTAAACAGGACTCAGTACGCGCCACCCAAGAATGGGTACAAAATGAGGTTCCTCGCTTCATTTCCACTGCACAATGGCCACCAAAATCTCCGGATACCAATTCGTTGGACTATTGTGTCTGGAGTATCTTGGAAAGCAAGATTGGCACTAAAAAATACCAAAGTGTCGATCACCTCAGCAAGTGCTTCGCCGGGAATGGGCCAAAATACCGCAGTGCAACATTCGTGCAGTGCGTGACGGTTTCATTGGCCGTTTAAAAGCCATATCTCGTGCCAAAGCTGACCAATTCAAACAAATCTAAATTTATTCTAAAAGTTAATGCTATTCCGACATTTTTTGATTTCATTCAATAATATTTAAAAAAATTTAAAATTTATGGCGTTTGACTTTGTTGCAGTTTTTTTATCTCACCCCATATATGTAAAAGAATTTGATCTTAGTTATTTCGCTTATAATTCAAGAGCCGCTGGGCTGATGTTGACAATTCTCACCAAAACAAAATGACATCGTGCCAGAAAAATATAAAATTTAAGAAAATCACCGAAAAATATTCCAAGAAAAAAGTTAATATTTTTTATATTTTTTCAATTTTTTTCATATATTTTATGGCATGCAATTTTTTAATTTGACTTACAATTTTGAATTGTACATTTTGTAAAGTTATTTTTTTACACTCTCCAACACTATGTGTTGAGAGTATTATGTACAGGTCGCAATTATCGTCCGATCCCCACAAAATTTTGCACAGGGTAGGGTTAAAATGGACCAAAAAATTAAAATTTCCTGATCTTGCACGTATATATAGGGAAAGTTCCTCTGGTCAAAAAACAAACGTAACTTTTGTGTGGGGCTGAAAGGCATTATTACCAAAACGAAATTTGACAAAATATTTGGACCTAAGGGGGCTTCCAATATATTACAGTGTTGTAGGGTATGATATGGTCGGCCCGCACGACTGTAACATTTGCTTACTTGTTTCAATTAAACTTACAATTTTGAATTGTACATTTTCTAGAGTTTTTCTACACCAACACATAGTTTTGCGAGTATTGTATACAGGTCGCATTTATCGTCCGATCCTCACGAAAAAATGTGTATGGAGGTAGGGCCAGGGTCAGAACTAAATCCTATTATTTGAATGCTAACATGTTGAATGGCGAACAACATTGGGAAAATCTGGGCAGGGCTCTATCGCATCATTTTAACAACGAAATCTTTCAAATGTATTTTAACATAAGGGACCTTCCAACATGTTGCAGTATTGTAGGGTATCACATAATCGGCCCCGCACGACTATAGCCTTTGCTTACTTGTTAGTTTCTAAATTGGATACTTTTTTTCAAACAACCACTAAAAGTTGAAAATTTTCAACTTTATGTTTTAATACTGAATTCGTATTTAATTGACGTTCTTTGAAAAACATGCATTTAACTTTTGAAAACCGGTTCCCATCTTTATTTATGAACATATGAAAATGCATTTTTATAATGAGATGTTTTGAAAACCATTGATTTTGTTTTGAATGACAAGACCATATTTTGACAGCTCATGTTTGGTTAACTGCGCTATTACTACTACCTATTACATTACATTTGGCTTAGTAAGACAGTATACCCTAATTCACCTGGTCCAAATCAACAAACCTTTATAATGACCTAAAGCTAAACAGTCAGAGAAGAAACAAACTATTTTTTCTTTTCTTGCATTAAAAAAATCAAAACTAACCATAAGTATTCATTTTTTATAACAAATGACTTATACCACTTTCAGCATTCACGGCCTCTGACAGCAATTCGTTCACATTAGACAATCATATGTTTTGGGGGCATAACTTACTGTGCTCCAACAAGTTTTGTTCTCAGTCTACAAACTAAGCTCTTTCGGGAGCAGTCGTCAAACAGTAAATAGACGGCGGGCATGTCACATACAATAAAGACACCCCCCACAATATAGAGGCAAATAATAAAACGTAAATCAACAAAACAACAATAACGACATCTTATCATCAAAACAAAAAAAATCGGCATGTATTTTGAAGATGATTAGACGGTAGATAGCTTATGAAGTAACAAATTGCGTGTAGGATTTTTTTCATATCTAAATATCAGTTAATGGTATATTTTCTGTGTGTGTTTCTGTCAACGTGTAAGTGGATGACATTTATTTATTGCAAAAAATTGAAATTTGATTGTATTTTTATTTAGATAGCGTTCAGAGAGGCACTGACCATCAAACTGAACAAACACACAATAAATAGGATGTCTTCCCTACTACAGAAGGCTCTTCAAACAGCCACCATTACAGCCGGTAAATGCAATGCCTTAACTCATATTGTAAAATCGGAAAATATATTTGTACGTTATAAATCAACAACAAGTGCCCAACCTGTTCCTGCTTTCGAAACATCTACAGATTCCACTGGAAACAATAGAAAACAACAACAGGTAATTGTATATTTAATTAAAGCTTATTTTGTGAAATTCATTAGTAAAGCTAACGCATACTTTAGATAGCGGCCAATGTTTCTCCTGCCTCAGCCCTGACAGATACATTTGGGCGATATCACACATATTTACGTATTTCCCTAAGCGAACGTTGTAATTTGAGATGTAAGTATGCACTATAAAAATGTGTTCTATTTTTTTTTTTTAAATTTTTTTTTGAGATTTTATATAATTATTTGTGAGACATTATTTTTAATAATTTTGTGCTTTACTGTAGATTTCCAAAAACCGGTTGCAAAGATTTTCTTAAACTTAGACCTGTATCTAATCTACTAATCGCAAAACCGTAAAAAAATTTAAAAATTTCCATTGACATTATTAAAACGATAATTAAACAGTTCGAAACTTTAAAATTATTTTAGAAACAAGTAAGCAAAGGCTACAGTCGAGCGGGGCCGACCGTTGAATACCCTACAACACTATAATAAACGATACAGTTTATATAGGCGAGATACTCGAAAGAATTCCACAAGATATTGTGACAAATAATAAAGGAAACCATCAGGTTTCGTTCTCTAATTTTCGAATAATAGCAACTTAAACTAATTTAAATGGTCTTCCTAGATCTGGAACCAATATTTCCCAAAGACCCATAGTCTCTTAGAAGTGGCAAATGATTAACATTTATTATTGGTTTTTGACTGAAACGCATCTATATGAGATACAGACATTTGACTATATTCTTCAACGAAATCAGCGTTAACGAAATAGTCAGGAGTGCGTCTTTCCTGTATTTGTGAATTCTCCAAAAAGTCACTGGAATAGACATTTTCGTATTTTGTCTACAAAAGTTGGCAAACTATTTCCCACATTGAATAATTTTGGATGGCCATCCAAAACTGGCTTTTACAATGTCCGGTAACCCCCATTCAAATGTGCATGAGGATCGGTTGATAATTACGACCTGCTGACAATTTTACAGTTTTTTGGTCCATTTCAACCCCTAAATATACGGCGATCATCTCCAAAAAGAGTAGGCTTCTATTCTGACCCTCATCTGATCCCCATGCAAAATTTCGTAAGGATCGGGCCATAAATGCGATCTGTATATGATATCCTGATATCCTAACTACTTAGTTTTGTTAGCTGTAGAAATATTACCAAATGTTTAATTCAAAATGAAAATATGACAAAATTGAAAAAATATGGGAAAATTTTACAAAATCAATATTTTCATCTTTAGAGAGGTATTTTTATGCGATTTTTTTAGACGTTTTATGTTTCCTGCCAAGAGGCCATTCTGAATTAATGAGAACTGTCGAAATCAGTTCAGCCGTTCTCGACATATAATAGATCTTTCAAGCATATCTTCTTTGATAGACATATATATCGCACATATTTCGCTATATATCCGATTTGTTGGATGTTAACATCAATTTAAAGGTCAGAAGTAACCTTGTCATGGCTTTGTGATTTCGCTGGTATTTAAAATATTGGCGGTTTAATGAAAAATTTTGAATTTTTTCAACACAAAAGATATGGTCTATTTTACCCGCTAAATATTATCCGATGACCACCCAAATTGGTAGGCTTCTTCCCCGCCCTAAACTCTAGCTACATGCGAAACTCCGCGTCGATTGGTCTATAATTGCGACCTGTATAGCTACTGCAAAATCCGACATTTTTTCAGTATTTGGTCCATTTGAACCCCTAAATATTATGCGATCATCTCCAAAAGAAATAGGGTTCTATTCTGACCTAAGCCCCACCTCCATTCTAAATTTCGTGAAGATCGGGCCATAATTGCGACCTGTAGAGTGATTACAAATTAACATGGACAGACGGACAGACGGACGGACGGACATACATAGCTAGATCGACTCAGCTCGGCGAGCTAGGAAGATCCATATATACTTTCCTATGTGGGAAACCAATATTTCGAGGTGTTACATAAATTCTGGCCCAATCAAACTTATAATACCCCCAACACATAGTGTTGTAGGGTATAATGAAATCTTAACACGTAAAGGAAATAAGTTAAAAGAGAAAAAATATTCGATTAACAATTTATATTTATAAAAAAATCGGGTTCTTAAAGATCACTTCGTGGCAAAGCTCCCATTGCATTTCTTAATCAAATCAATAATAATTTTTTCGAAAGCGAAACAAAAATGTTATTAATCTCAATATCTGTATATGTTATAGGCAAATACTGTATGCCCGCCGAGGGTGTTACCCTGCAGCCCAAAAACAACCTATTGACAAATGATGAGATTTACTATCTGGCACGTATTTTCGTAGAACAAGGTGTCAGAAAAATACGTCTAACAGGAGGCGAACCTACGGTACGCAGAGATATTGTTGACATCATAGGTAAGTTAATAAATAACCTCCTACAAAAAGAAGTAACATACCTACCTATCTATACCATTTGCAGCAAAACTAAAGGAGTTACCAAAATTGGAAAATGTTGGAATTACAACAAATGGCTTGGTATTGACACGACTACTAGTTCCATTACAAAGAGCTGGTTTGGATGCCCTCAACATCAGCTTGGACACATTAAGACCGCAACGTTTTGAAGAAATAACACGTCGTAAAGGTTGGGAAAGAGTTATTGCTGGCATAGATTTGGCCATACAACTGGGTTATAAACCCAAAGTCAATTGTGTTCTCATGAAGAATTTCAATGAAGATGAAATTTGTGATTTTATTGAATTCACTCGAGATCGAAATGTGGACGTTCGTTTTATAGAGTATATGCCATTTATGGGTAATAAATGGCAAACGGATAAATTATTATCGTTTAATGAAACACTGAAAATAATTCGTGAAAAATGGCCCGAGTTTGAAGCTTTACCAAATGGACCGAACGACACGTCGAAAGCCTACAAAGTTCCAGGTTATAAGGGGCAAGTTGGCTTTATAACATCAATGACAGAACATTTTTGTGGATCATGCAATCGTTTGCGTTTGACAGCCGATGGCAATTTAAAAGTATGCCTGTTTGGTAACAAAGAAATTTCCCTGCGCGATGCTTTAAGAAGTAAATGTTCCGAAGATGATTTGGTGGCCCTAATTTCGGCAGCTGTAAAGAGGAAGAAGAAACAACATGCAGGTAAGCACTATATGGATTTTTAAAGCCATCACATAAAACACGGTGCTACAATTTTTTTTTTTTTCAATAATGAAACCGAACCTTTTCCACGATCGGCAATTAAAAAATTGAAAAAATAATACGAGTTCTATTTACCTTAATTACGAGCAATTAATTAAATGTCATTGCAGTCTATCTGTGATCCTTTTTCATTTTAAGTCACCTGCGATTTTGCAACTTGGTCCAGATATAGTCTAGGAGAGCTTTCGTGCTATAGTTTTTATCGTTCTCGTAAAAATCCCATGGAATATTTGAGCCGTGAGAATTTCGAAATAAAAGGAATTTTTTAAAACACATTTCACCGATTTCGTTTCCAATATTTTGATTAAAATTTACCGTTTTTTGGGCAAAGAATATGATTGGTAAATACTGGTGAAATTGTATTGGCAATTTTCGAATTTATTTGTTTATAGAACCACAACATTTCATTGTTAATACATTTCGGTATCCTAGTCAATATAAAAATTAACAATTTTACAAATTTGTTTCATAATTATGTTACATAAATTGGTCCTACAAGAGTTAATAACTTTCGCTGTCAATTGTTAAATTTTGTAGCATCGTGTTATTCTAAAAAGTAATTATCACAATCATTCATTGGAAGATTTTGGAATTTGTATAATGCATTGAAATGATTATTATTACTGACATTGTAGGCATGTTGAATTTATCACAAATGGAAAATCGTCCAATGATTTTGATTGGCGGATAGCCCTTCCCAAAAGGTGGGTACTAAACAAAGTTATTTTGCTCTCATAAAAAATGTATATATTTTCTTTCTCATTGATTAGGTCGTCATCAAATTTTTAACAAACCACCAACAGATATATTCAAATTCCAAAAATTGAACAATTTTATTACACCTGCATATGTTTTAAGCAGATATTTTGCAAAACCTCAACAAATTCGTTTCTATAGTTCAAATGGCAAACAATTGACCCATATCGATAAAACCGGTAAAGCATCGATGGTAGATGTTTCGGAAAAACCCAACACAACACGAACGGCTATTGCCAGAGCAAATATATACGTTGGATCTGAAGTAGCTCAACTGATACATTCTAATAATTTAAAGAAGGGCGATGTCCTTAGTGTGTCTCAATTGGCCGGAATAATGGCGGCTAAGAAAACATCAGATCTAATTCCTTTGTGCCACAATATCACAATTTCATCCGTAAAAGTTAATGCTGTCTTAGATTTAGATAATGAAATGGTAACACTGGAAGCCAGTGTACGTTGTACCGGTCAAACAGGCGTGGAAATGGAAGCTTTAACTGCGGTCTCAGTAGCTGCCCTTACTGTCTACGATATGTGCAAAGCTGTTACCCATGACATGATAATAAAGGACATACATTTGGTTTCGAAATCTGGCGGTCAAAGGGGTGATTTTCAACGATTGTAATTGAATAATTTGTAAATATTAGATAGAAAGAAATATCTGTGTGTAGATTGGAATATATATGGTAGCTATAGTTATACACACTGCCAAGATTTCTTGGTTTTTATAATTATCTTTAAAATTGTTGACATTGCGGCAATAAAAACCTTTTAAAGGTCAATGATATTTTTCTTTAAAATAAAAAATCTAATAACATATAAAAACTTCTTTGCAAAATATTAAATATTTTGTAAATAAAATATTCTCCCTGCAATAGTACAATAGCTGGTCTTTAATATATATGCCGCACCGGGACACAAAATTGTTTAAGGTTTAAATTGAGATCAGAGCTGAGAAAAATAGAAGAACCTGGTCATTTTGCACGTAACTAACACAATTCAAATTAACTTAAACAAGTAAAAAAGCAACTAAGTTCTGCCGGGTTGAACTTTTAATACCCTCCGCCAATTTTCAAAAAAAAAAAAAATCCGTAGAAAAAGTACTCTCAGATGATAGCCCTTATAGGGGGCTATACGAAGACGAGTTCCACAATAAGTAATTTTTTATCATAGGCTTTAGTACCCATTACGAGCTCTAAATACGTAATTTGAAACAATTTAGGTTAATAATGTCGCTAAAATAATCAAAATACCGAATATTGGGAGGTACCGTTATATGGGGGCTATATGAAAACGTGGACCTACATGACCTATTTATTTCTCAATTTGTTCGAAAGAGAGCGTGATTACACAGACGGACATTGCAAAATCGACTTAGAATTTTACGAATTATTTTTGTTGGGTCTGGCATGAGTATTTCGAGGAGTTAGAAAGGGAATAACAAAGTTAATATACCCTCCATAATATGGTGAATGATATAAAAATGGAAAATCGTAAAAAAAACTTGCCTACATTTTTATTTCTACCATTTAAAATCGTCTCTCTTCAAATCGCTTACTTTATTTTACATTAACTATTATTGAACGTGAGAAATTCTCGGCAAGTGGGTATTAACAATGTTTTTTCTTGGTCTCTCAGTATGATTCGAAATAGCCCATAGGTTCCAAACCAGAGGTTGAAGTTTTAAGAGCACAACACTTTTTTATTAATTAAATTCAAGTATGATTCTAAAAAAGCATTACAGTGAGTAAAAGACGCTTTCGGTATCTGAAAACAGTAATTGTTTTGACAAAATCGATCAAAGCACTGAGGTTCACTGATATAAAATGGTTACTTTATGTTGTATATTATTAATAGTGTTGTTTTTAACCATATCCCCTAAAATTTTAGTTTTTTTATTTAGCTGAAAATGTCCAATGGCGTTGCATTGCATTCTAATATATTGATTTTTAATCATTTCAATTTACAGATTTATTTCTTTATTAAATAAAGCCTTTAAATTGGCAAAACTTAAATCACTAGAAATACGACGAACAAAAGAATATTGTGTATAGTTTTATATTACTGGTGAGACATGAGGATGTTTTTGGTTTTTATTTCCACTAATAATACGTTAACACATTAGTTTGTTCATATTTATATATTTATGTAGACTGTCAAAAGGCCAGAAGGGAAATATTACAAATGAAATTATAATAGTGTTAGTGTCTTAATATTTTTGCTCAAATTGCAATACTATATATAGGTAAAACCGATGTATACTCTATATTCTGCATTTTTAGTTAGCTAGCAGAATTGAATGTTTAACGAATTTGGTTAAACCTACAGCTATGATACCCATATATAGACAGATGCAATATACAACACAAGCTATTAAGTGTTACTCAAGAAAGGACGAAGACATCCAGGCCTTCTTTTGTCTTCAATTGTATTAGAATTGTAATATCAACCAAGCGCACACACAATGAGTGGGATCTTCAGTTGGATACCAAGACGTTACGGTTCTCCGATTTGTTTTCTTCTGATTGTGACTTTTGTGCTTCACCGGCCATTTGTTCGCCACGTATTCTGATGTTGTGTTCTTCCTTAAATTTATTGATTTGCTGTCCCTTCTTGGTCAAATCATCGGTGACTAATGTTATGGTTTTTTCAATGAAATCTTTGTTTTCTACAAGTTGAGGTAGAACTTCTTTGACAGTTCTCTCACACAAAACGCCGCCGATGAGACGGAAACATTTGCGATCTGGATCCACTGTTTTGAGGGTATCTATCACAGTCCTAATGTGAGTAATGTCGGAAGGATTCATTAAAAAAAAGAATTGAGGTTATGTTTACAACAACTTACTTGTGCTCTTTAAGATCCATTTCCAGTGTGTTTAGATTGTTTACCAAGTTCCTCTGTTCATTGCGGAGTTGTTGGAACTCAGCAATAATCTTTTCGTTCATTTTGGAATCCTTTACTTGCTCGCCGCTCATTGTATTTCCAAATATTAGTAACAGATGGGCAAAACTTGGGAACCAGACTGGACTGAATAGGATTTATAAAAATTCGATTATAAACTCGATTATTCAATAAGAATAAGATTTGATTGCTGAAATATCGATTTTTTCGATAACAGTTATGGGTAGTTTACACGGCAATTTTATGAAAAAAATGTTCGCCATCAGAATTACCATGGTAGAAGAATATTGCATCGACACAGCTGCTGGGACAATGAACTGTCAAACCAATTTTCGAATTGAAAATGTTGAATAAAAAATTATTTAAATTTGCAAAAATTGTTAAAAAAAACTCGAATTATAATGACGTCGTATAAGAAAACATTTAAAAATCTACTCATATTTGAAAAAAAAAACATTTAAAATTTTTTGACATATCAATGCTCCCATGGCAGAAGAATACAGGTAGATGCATCAACGCTTGGGAGCATTGATATGTCAAAAAAATTTAAATGTTTTTTCAAATATAAGTAGATCTTCATATGTTTTCATATACTACGTCATTCGGAGGCTATTATAATTCGCGTTTTTCAACAACTTTTACAAATTTAAATAAATTTTCATTCAATATTTTCAATTCCAAAATTGGTTTGACAGTTCATTGTCCCAACAGCTGTGTCGATGCGTCTACCTATTACTTCTACCATGAATGCTCCCAAGCGTTGATGCATCTACCTGTATTCTTCTGCCATGAGAATTACCCAGTGAAACAATTGTCGAACATTCAATGTGTCAACAAACTCTCACTCTGTTTCAGAACCGCAAGTATTGATGGGTCCCGAAACTACAAGAATGTGAAAATTGTTACTAAGATAACCAATTATCCCCTTATAGTAGATTCTTGCAGGTTCTGGAAAAACTAACATGATTTCAGTTGAAAACAACTTTTTACACAATTGGTCTTTTCCAGATCTGCAAGAATCTATACAATTTTACTAAAATTAAGAAGGTAAGGTCATGCCATCATATGTTTAAAATTTTTTAAAAATTATTCATTTGACAACATCTCATTGTCAAAATATGTATTTACTAAACCATTGTGTACGCACAAATACAGTGAAATTTGACAAGGTAAGTTACAGAAAATGCAGAGATGGGTATGCTTATTTGAAATGACTTTACCTTCTTAATTTTACCATAGATATGCCATGGAAGAACAGCCCGTACTGAAGATTAATCCACTAGTGCCGTGTTCCAGAACTGCAAGAATTTAAAAGTTTTTACTATGATAACCGATTTTCCCTTTATGATATCGAAAAAAATTGCAAAAATAGTAGGTTCTTGCAGTTTCTGAAACAGAGCATATGTGGTCGTTTAAGCATGCCCTTTGGAGGACAGAAATGAAATTCTTAATCCAGTAAAATGCAAGCGTATGCTTTGTCTCAGAACCTGCAAGAATCTACTATTTTTGAAATTGAAAATTGTTGGCTTGTTTGTTCAGGATACCGTAGTATTTTGTTGTTGCAAAATGGTCAGGCTTTATCCCTTTGTTGTTGTTTTTATAAAAACAACATTTGTTTATAAGAACGATGTTCGGAGAACGATGAAAATTGTTTCGATATCACCAAGGAAAAATCGGTTTGTCATCATTGACAAAAGAAAAAAGAAGATCCTGGTTTTTGTGTTGCGTTACATCAATAGGGCAAAAATGACAACAAAGTTGGACGTAGATATGTGTTACGGCTTGAACATGTCACACAAAGCAACAGTCAAGCTGTGCTTAAGTTTTGAGCTTTATTCATTTTGGTCAAAAAATCAAACATTTTTTTTGCTCCTTTCTTTCCAAATTGATAAAACTAGCTAAACTTGCAAAAGTAGTAAAATTGATATATGTGTAAAGGAATACGTTTCATCCAAAACGTTGCTAAAGTTGAAGATTCCTGCACGTAAATGAAGAGAGCTATTTTATGTATCACTCATTGAACAATAAACGGCAACTTGTACAAACAGCCCTATTAAATATTCCGATAAAAGTACAAATGGGCATAAAATAACGCCGCTGATAATTTACGTTCAACTTTGGACTCTGCTATTAACACCTTTACATTTATCTGGAGTACATTTGATTGCGATTATTCATTAAATTATTGTACATTTCTTATCAAACTTAAAGTTAGCAATTAATTGATAAGCCTACCTAAGTGGCGTTCGTTGGCTACGACAGACAGATAGCGATTTAAAACAATACCTGCCAAATTCGTGAAAACATTGCTGACAAACCCATTGAAGTGACAGGCAATAAATCTTTGTCAATAAATACCATAGAGAGGAAGGGGAAGACCCAAAAAGCCGTACATAAAAATGCTGCAAAATATAATCGATTTCTGCAATTATTGGTGGTTTCGTTATTTGATGGTTACGGAGCTGTACATGGTCGAGAAATGGGAAAGGGTCACGATACGTAAGTATTTAAATTATGTCTTGAATATATACATCTTAAAAGCTTAAGTGTGGGTGGGTGTGCCTATTTTGATTTCCATCGTAGGCATAAGTTGAGTTTAGGGGCTATGCTTGGATTGACCTGAAATTTTTACCGCAGGTAGGTATTTGTAACCTGATTACGGCAATATAATTTTTTTGTGGGGGAAATACCCGGTTACCCGGTTATTCGACCCAAAAGTTCGGATACAACATCCGGTTTATATCCGGTTCTACGTAACCGATATAAATGTGCATTTTTGTATGAGTAATTTTTGAAAAACCCATAAAAACTCGAAAATGGACCCATTATAGGGTCTTAAAATCTATACACTATATTATAGCTAACACTATTGCCTTTCCAAAATGGTGTCATATGTGTTGATATCTTTTGTAGTTCCGAAGATATTGACTTTTAAATTCGTTACTTATGAAAGCAGTTTGAGTGAAGCCAAGTTTTGTGTCGGGTTTAACGTTCTTGTTAATCTGCTTTGTTTTTAATTTGGTGTTGTTAGAATATTATGGATCGCGTAGTCGGTGTTGGACATATCCCAGAGGAGAAAATCTTAAGCCGCGGCCGAAGGCCGGCTACTTACAAAAATTACAATTTTTAGAAAAACTATGGATCGCGTAGCCGGTGTTGGACATACCCCAGAGGAGAAAATCTTAAGCCCCGGCCGAAGGCCGGCTACTTTCGAAAACTACAGTTTTTAGGAAACTATTGATCGCGTAGCCGGTGTTGGACATACCCTAGAGGAGAAAATCTTAAGCCAAAGGCCGGTTGCTTAAAAAAGCTATAAAGGTCAAAGTCAAATGCATCTAGACTGGAGAAAAATATAATTTAATGAATTCTATCTCTTATATCTTCGGAACCACAAAAGATATCAACACATATGACACCATTTTGGAAAGGCAATAGTGTTAGCTATAATATAGTGTATAGATTTTAAGACCCTATAATGGGTCCATTTTCGAGTTTTTATGGGTTTTTCAAAAAGTACTCATACAAAAATGCAAATTTTTCTAAATTTCTCCGAAACCGGTTCCAGCAACCCCGTCATATGACCACTTGTTGGATAGGTATTTTCATAAGCTTTCAAATGATTTTATTGATATCGGTTACGTAGAACCGGATACAAACCGGATGTTGTATTCGAACTTTTGGGTCGAATAACCGGGTAACCGGGTATTTCCCCCACAAAAAAATGACATTGCCGTAATCAGGTTACAAATACCTACCTGCGGTAAAAATTTCAAAATGATCCGAGCATAGCCCCTAAACTCAACTTGCTCCCCATCGTATTTTGGTCATGGAAGAGACATCATTTCCGATACGTTTCGTGCCTGGAAAGTAAATTAGCTGTATAAAGGTTGTGCTAGTTCTGTGATCTTGTGAAACATTTAAATGTTTCGCAAGAATTCCTTTCATTTTTTATTGTTTAATTATGAGTGGATTTCTTTGATGTGCATTATTTGACAAAGACTGCGCTATCAAAATTTCATTTCGATTTAAAATTGCCTTTTTGTGTGGGCAACAGTAATACGTTGGTCGTGCGATTGTAGGTAATCTTCATATTGGTATTTTTCAAATATTGTCAAGTACCTACGCTGCATATTTGTTGCCAAATAAACAGTTGATTCGGCACCACATTATGGCTTATACAAGGGTTCTGCTAGGATTCTTTTGAAAAGTCATTTCACTAACTATGGAGAAACCGCGTTTTCATTTCAAAATTGCTATGTAGGCAAATATATGTATGCTCTGTTCCAGTACCTACAAGTATCTACTAGCTAGTTTTGCAATTTTGTTTCGATATGATAAAGGAAAATCTGTTATCATAGTAACATTTTTTCATTCTTGCAGGATCTGCAACAGATCAATAGTGTAAGAACTAAGGTATGTACGATACCAGTGCAAAATTGGTTTTTTAATGGTGTAATACAACGTTCAATGTTTATTATCTGAAAAATAATTAAGTTGTTGCCTGAAATTTGTATACATTTTGGCCTCGTCCGCGAGTTGTTTCGTGAGCGGAGGTTATTGGATAATTCTAACTGAGTAAATTTTTTCAGCAAGATTTTTCAAACTCTCAGTAATCCAGTTGCCAAAATTTCTCGCTCCCTTTTACTGGATTTATTATTCTGGGTACTTGACATAAGGTATGTCTGGTTACTTTTCCAGCAAGACTTGTCCAGCAACTTCTTTTGAATGTGTGTGGTAAATTTATTCTCTTTTTCAAGAACAAAACAAACCATTTCTTTGCACAAAAATAAAACACCGGATAAAGAAGAGTTGCTATTGATTGTAAGACGAAATTTTACCGGGAAGAACATGCAAACTCTCTGTAAAAGAACTGCTAGAATTTCTCTCTTGAATTATTCTCTTTTTTTTTTAGGTCATAAGTAACACACGCAACAATTGTTAAAATTTTTTGTGTTACCAGACAGACCTTTGGTTCATCACTTTATTGCTCCATTGTTTCTAAACAACATACCTTATCTGAAATATGTGGTATTTTCAGTTTTATTATGCGTACATATAGTAATCTATTGCAATTAAAATTTGATTTAATTAGTTTTCCTTCGTATCCAGCGGTTTGTATACTTTATTTAAAACGTTATTTTTAAAATTATAAGTGCTGTTTAATACGTTTAAAAGGAATTTGATAAGCTAATATTTTTGTATTATTAAACAAACACCTGTTCTTATCGATATTACGTAGTTAGAAACGTAATTTTAAATATGTCTTTGGACAAAATACTTAAGTGTATCGATATACAGTGACTCACACGAAGAACTGGACATATTTAATAAAATTCGTTTCGGTAATATAAAAAAAAAACAAATAAAAAAGCTGTAAGTTTTAGCGGGCCGATTTTTGAATACCCTCCTCCATTTGGAACGATTTTGGCAATTTTCAAAAAAAGCAAAATCCGTTAAAAATTCTGTTTCTGTCATAGGCTGTAGTACCCACTACGAACTTCAAATACCAATTTTAAAATATTTTAGGTGAATAATGTCGCTTAAATCACTAAAATACCGAAAAAAGGGAGGTACCATTATATGAGGGCTATACCAAAACGTGGACCTACATTACCCATTTTCAATACCAAAAATCCTGCAGACATAATAAACATTTGAGTAAAATTTTGTCAAGCTACTTCATTTCGTTCTGAAGCTAGAGAGATTTCCACGGACGGACAGAGTGATCGCTAAATCAACATAGAATTTTATGCTGATCAAGAAAATATATATATATACTTTGTGGGGTCTGAAATGTATATTTCGGCGTGTTACAAACGGAAGGACAAACTTAATATACCCTCTATACCATGGTGGAGGGTATAAAAAACGGAAATTTAATAAAATTCCAATGGGATGGTTTATTTGATTACTGCTACATATATTCTAAGATATTTGAACAAAAGTAACTAAGATTAGGCAGTAAGGGTACTTCCGATCTATGTCGTTATTTTGTAAATAAATTATGCTAATCAGTATTTCTTCTAACATCAGTTTTAAAAATTTCACAACTTTAATAGCCTTTAGCCAAAGATACTTGGAAGTGATTTTGGTAGGTTTGGCAGTGTAATAGTTAAGATGCAGCATAGGTTGTGGTTCTGTATAGCAAAATGGACAGTGTTATGCACATTCCCATTAATTCCGTCCAATACGAAACTTTTCTAAATTAAATAGTTTTGAGAAACCCAATGGAATTTTATAATAAGTCTAGTTTATACCCGATGAACGCTAAAACTACAAGTAAAAAGTTTTTAACTGAATGAGTTCCGCAAATATAAACAAGAAAAATTTATAGAAAAATTAAGTAAGATTCTTAGAAAACTATTTAGAGTTATGACTCTTTTTCAGTAAATGAATGATACCGAAATACGACGAACGCACATATTTCAAAGATGAACAATTCATCATTTTGTGTTTTTGTATGCTAAAGGAATCGAAAGAAAGAAAAAAAAAAAATGTGAACGTTTGGGAATGGAAAGCCGACGTTTGGAAGAATTTAATATTTTTAAAAAATGCCCTTGCTTTTATTTGATTGGCTTGAAAATATGGACCTTGCGTATTATTTTAATTAAGCCGTACAAGCGAATTTACCAAATCTGTTAAGGCTGCAAAACAAAGGTATGAATTAAGCAAACTAAATGTTGCCACTGTCCGGTTAATCGTAGAAGTCACTGTACTTAATCTGAAACCACATGTTATCTGCAGACATAACGTAGATCGACTGTGCGAATAGGAGTTTATAATTCGGATTATATTTGAAAATCTTGAAGGTTAACTCAGCTCTAAACATGATATTCTTATGTCGACATATTTGTTATTATCAATATACATTTATCTGCACCTTACTAAATATACCTTTTTAAAAATAAATCTTAAATAATAAAATTTCTTTCTTTTCCGGATCTAAAACTACATCTTGCAGACATCATTTTTGCAATTCTCTTCATCCTCTTCTGGTACTTCAACTATTCGGTCCTACTGTCCGTAACAGGAAGTCTATTCGGTTTAACACCCATATCATCGTTAATGGATGCACAGAGTAGCAGTAAAGTTATGTAACAAACAAATCAATAAATATAAGAAACTATCTGAAATGTAGTGATAAAAACTAAACTCTAGCAAAAACAAACAATAAATGATCGAATATGTATGTTCCGTAAATTGAGAGATTTAATAAATTAGATGACGACGCCATCAACAGCGAACAATGTGCTAACGTAACGGAAAAAAGTGTCATCGATATCCTGTTTTCTTTACAAAAAATAAACAAATAATGTAAATCGACATTTGCAAGCCTTAATACATATATTTGTATATTGTAGATTTATCTAGAGTTTTGCACAATCAATGTCAAATATAGAAGTATTCCATTATTTATATATGCCACTTTTTGTAGCAACGTTAATTTTATGTAAACCAATTATCCACCAAATTTTATAAGAAAAGCATTTTTGTACTTGCGTGTGTTTGTGTGGTTTTCTTACAAAATGTAAACACGTACTACATAGTTCAGGGAAGAACATAACTACAAGTTGAAACGAATCTTGAAAAAATAAAATTTTGATGTAATCTCAAAAATATTTGTATATGCAAATTAGTAGATGATGCGTACTTTTCAATACACAATAATATTTATATACAAGTCTTTGTTTTTTTTGTATATTTCCCTTGCCTGTAATTATTCAATAAACTATATAATGATAAATATTTAATAAATTGTTTTTCTAAAAATGTTTTATTTTTAAATTTTAAGTTAGTTCTTAGTTTTTTTAATAAAATGGGCAACAAATCATATAAATATTTTTAATGAAACTATAATGTTTGTAATTAATTTAAAAAGGTGAAGTTTAAAGCTCTAGCGTCGTTTTCTTAAACTTAAACTGTTTAAGCTCTGAATAGGATTGGGGTTTAAAATATTCGGTAAAGAATTAATATTGTATACCATTGCCCGATAAAAAGGTTTTATTGCCATCTCATGTTAACCAAAAGATTTTTGGTAGGGTTTGAATTGTATTCATGGCTCTGTGAGTCTGTTTATTGCTCCAGAAATCAGAAATGTTGAACAATATTTAAGGAGTCATGGTCATTTTAAAATATTTAATAATTGGTGCATAGAATATGGACCACAAATAATAGCTAAACAACGCCGAAAACTCAATATTTACGTAGATTAGTGATCACAAATAATAGCTAAAAATGCCGAAAACTCAATATTTAAGCAGTTATGGCCATTTTAAAATATTTAATAATTCGTACGTAGATTAGTGATCACAAATAATAGCTAAAAACGCCGAAAACTCAATATTTAAGGAGTTATGGCCATTTTAAAACATTTAATAATTCGTACGTAGATTAGTGATCACAAATAATAGCTAAAAACGCCGAAAATTCAATATTTAAGGAGTTATGGCCATTTTAAAATATTTAATAATTCATGCTTAAAAAAATGATCACAAATAATAGCTAAAAACGCCGAAAACTCAATATTTAAGGAGTTATGGCCATTTTAAAATATTTAATAATTCGTAAGTAGATTAGTGATCACAAATAATAGCTAAAAACACCGAAAACTCAATATTTAAGTAGTTATGGCCATTTTAAAATATTTAATAATTCATACGTAGATTAGTGATCACAAATAATAGCTAAAAACGCCGAAACTCAATATTTAAGAAGTTATGGCCATTTTAAAATATTTAATAATTCATGCTTAAACAAGTGATCACAAAATAATAGCTAAGAGTGCGAAAACTCAATATTTAAGGAGTTATGGCCATTTTAAAATATTTAATAATTCGTACGTAGATTAGTGATCACAAATAATAGCTAAAAACGCCGAAAACTCAATATTTAAGAAGTTATGGCCATTTTAAAATATTTAATAGTTCATGCTTAAACAAGTGATCACAAAATAATAGCTAAAAACGCCGAAAACTCAATATTTAAGGAGTTATGGCCATTTTAAAATATTTAATAATTGATGCTTAAAAAGTGATCACAAATAATAGCTAAAAACGCCGAAAACTCAATATTTAAGGAGTTATGGCCATTTTAAAATATTTAATAATTCATGCTTAAACAAGTGATCATAAATAATAGCCAAAAGCGCTTAAAACTCAATATTTAAGGAGTTATGGCCATTTTAAAATATTTAATAATTCATGCTTAAACAAGTGATCACAAATAAAATTTTAAAATATTTAATAATTGATGCTTAAAAAAGTGATCACATTTTAAAATATTTAATAATTCTTACGTAGATTAGTGATCACAAATAATAGCTAGAAACGTCGAAAAGTCAATGTTTAAGGAGTTATGGCCATTTTAAAATATTTAATAATTGATGCTTAATAAAGTGATCAGAAATAATAGCTAAAAACGCCGAAAACTCAATATTTAAGGAGTTATGGCCATTTTAAAATATTTAATAATTCGTACGTCGATTAGTGATCACAAATAATAGCTAAAAACGCCGAAAACTCAATATTTAAGGAGTTATGGCCATTTTAAAATCTATATATCTATCTATCTATATATATATATATATATATATATATATATATATATATATATATATATATATATATATATATATATATATATATATATATATATATATATATATAAATGTAAGTTGTGTTAGTTACTACGCTTATAACTTATATATATATATATATATATATATATATATATATATATATATATATAAATGTAAGTTGTGTTAGTTACTACGCTTATAACTTAAGAACCGCTGGATTAATTTTAACGATTCACACAAATTCGGAGTTGTCTACTCTCCGAAAAGGATAATATCCAAAAAAATCGCGTAAAAATGTGATATATTAACATTTTCATTTTGACTTTTCAAATGTACAATAGTAATGTTTCATTTTGCATGATTTTTTTCCATTTTGACTTACTTTTTTCTAATGTACATTTATTGGGTTTTTTTATATTTTATTTTTGAATTCGAATATTTATACCAATTTATTTAATTGACTTGATTTCTTGAGAACTGAAATTGATGGCGGGTTACATGGAAGTGTAGTAGCGAATTATGTGGTGGCGAAACGGAATAGATGATATCGAAATAATTTAACGCGGTCACACCAAAGTTAAAAGATAATTACTTTTTCTAAATCGCCGAAAAATCATGAAAAAGAGATCTCATTGCAAAAATCAAAAAACCATTTTCAATGGAATCGAATTTTAAAGTAATAGTACATTCTATTGACAAACTTTGTAAGGAAGGATCTTAAAACATTTGCTGTAAAAAATCAGCGAAAAAGTTGAAGACTTTTTCAATTTGTTATTATTTTTTTTTTGTCAATTTTTTTTTTCAATTTGTATTATCATATTGAATTCAGTGGATTTTTTGTGAACAAAATAAAGAAAAATTTTTCACTAAAAAATTAAATAAGTGCGAAATAGGATGTTAACTGACATCTACCTTTCAACTCCAGGGCCTACATCGTGGGTTAGCTGGAAGATGCGAACACATTTAAACAAACAAAAATGACCGAAAAAGCTTAATGGGGCTCATTTCAAAGCGTGACAATGATCCGTCCAATGAGAGCTCAAAATGCAAAATTCTTTGCATAATCTATAATAAGTAATATACCAATATTGAAATAAAAGGTGCAAAATAGTAGAGCGAATGGGACTTTTAGTAAGAAAAGGTTTTATATCCTTCCAGAAATTCTTCCCAAACATTCAAAATACCTAAAATCACTTTTGCAGGTCTTTATATCGATCATAACTCACGGATAAGGGAACAACCCGATTTCATATTTATATAACCATCTATGATTTAAGTTATTTTTGGGGTCTTGGCCGGCCACTTTTTTCATTTTTTGGCCCTTATTTGACATTTTTGTTTCTAAGGGGGTAGATAACCTCTTCGCATAAAATTTGAAATTTTCAGAGTAGGGCCCATATTGGTATTGACACACATTCATCAATTGATTTGGCTAAAAAATTTTATTTATGCCACCCTGGGGTAGGGAACCATCATACAGATAATTGCCACATAGGAATTTATTTAAGTAAAGTCCCCACATTGGAGTATCCCCAAGTCCACTTTCACATCTAATGTGTGGTCAGAAAAGAAAATTTTGTATTCTATTGGATTTGTAACCCCCAAGACAATATTGGTTGGAAACGTATATTTGGAATATACATCTATATGAAATAAATTGTGGAAACATGAACAAATTACAAATATATGAAATTAGCACGGGACCGAATATTTGTTGAATCGTCATTGAATTATACTATGATGAAAAATATGGTGGATAAAACTATTTTTACTCATTTAAATCACGCGAAATTTTTTTTCAGTTGTTGTTGTTCTGCTATATTTTTGATTTGGTCTCTATTTGTCATATTGGATTATAAGGGCTAGAAGAATGTTTTCAATATAGGTCGATGTCTCGGAGTAATGCCCATATAAAAGTACCTCCTGATTTTACCATATTTCAAAGGATTTGGCTAAAAATGTGTATTTGGGGGTGAAAATCTTACACAAAAATTTGAACATATCTACAAATTTTAGAATTTTTTCCCTATAATAGTACCCCCTCAAGTCCACTTTTTGGCGGACAAACAGACCGACAAGGTTAGAGGGACTTATAAGAACTCTAATGGACAATCTGAGGTGCTAATGGCTTTAAAAAAGTAATTTACTTTGGCTATTCTTAATTCATTCAACCCTCAATTAAGAGGTGTACAAAATACAGTAAATTCCAAATTACTGCTCATTTCAATGGAAAATTATGCTACGATTTTTACCATACTAAAAATTAATTTGATCCCTTACATGGGGATAAGATTGATATACATTTTAATAGATTTGTATAGCACATCCACACCTTTGAAGTCCACGGTTTAAATATTGAAGCCCACGGCTTAAATATGGGTACAGGTATTTAAAAAGCCTTTTAATCGACCAGTACGCGAACACTTATATCATTCATATCTTTGAATAATTATGCTTTGACAAATATGCATAATAGACAAAAAGTACGGGCCGGCAACGCGGACCGGGCCAGCTAGTATTTAATAATTCATGCTTAAACAAGTGATCACAAATAATAGCTAAAAACGCCGAAAACTCAATATTTAAGGAGTTATGGCCATTTTAAAATATTTAATAATTCATGTTTAAACAAGTAAAAAAGCTGTAAGTTCGGCCGGGCCGAACTTTTAATACCCTCCACCATTTGGTACAAATTTGGCAATTTCCAAAAAATAAAACCCGTTAAAAATTCTGTTAAAATCTTAAAAATACCGAATGCTTATACGACGACGTGGGCCTGCATAGGCAACTTTTGTCATAAATTATTACAATATTTAATTGCGAAACTTGAAGAAAAATCTGTTTATAATGTAGCTAAAATCGTCAAAATACCGAATATGGGGGGTACCGTTATATGGGGGCTATACGAAGACGTGGACCTGCGCAGACAATTTTCTGGCATGGGCTGAAGTATCCATTACGAACTTCACATACGAAATTTGAAACAATCCCTGTAAATAACGTCGCTAAAATCATTAAAATACCGAATATCGGGGGGTACCGTTATATGGGGGCTATATGAAGACGTGGACCTACATGGCTCATTCTTTGACTTTGGATGAAGTATCCATTACGAACTTCAAATACCAAATTTGAAACGATTCCGGTAAACAATGTCGCTAAAATCATCAAAAAACCGAATATCGGGGGGTACCGTTATATGGGGGCTACAGGA